CTCTGCATGACGAACTGACTGTAGGAGAGGTCTGTTTGTCTGTAGAAACCAGAGGAGAGGCGCGTGTGGAAGTCTGGCGTGCAGAGGAGAACCAACAGCATCATTATTCCTGTCATTACCATCACGGTGAGCATATAGAGCGTCTTCAAGAATAAGTGCATCTTGGACGGGGAATTTTGCGAGCGCGAGAGAAGATGGGATGGCGAAGGAAGCTGTGTTTTTGGGGTGCTGTATTTTTTTTCTTTTTTTTTTGGGTGCGGAGTTATTTTTTTTATTGTTACTTTGTTTTTTTCTATCACATGTTTACTTTCTCTTTTTTTTTAAACACTCGTTTTGTAGGCACTACTCGTTAATGGGTGACTTGAAATAACCAAGCTGTTGCATTGTAAGTGGATTATTTATTTATATAAATACTTGCAAGGCGTACGTATCAACTTGATTACAAGAAAAAAAGGAAAAGAAATAGAAGAAAAGAAAACGAAAATACGTGAAAGCACTCTTGATTAATATTTTCTCAGCACATTTAAGAAAACAAAAAGGAAATTCACCGACACCGAATCAGTTCTGAAATTCGACAATGTAGTCATCACGAGGTCCTTGTTGCATCGACAAACTCATAAATAATTCGAAGTAAAGATACAAAGGGTATATTAAGATTGACATCGCGATCACCGATATCAGGAATATAAGCTTGGGAGTGATCATAGATCCTGGCCATCACACACGGCGATTCACTCCTGCAAACCACACACTCGCGAGGACATCAACGCACTCATGACACTAATAAAAACCAACACAGAAACACTGGCTAATAAATTCTCCCTTCTTTCTCCCTCTCTTTCACTTTCACTTCCTCCTCCTCGTTCTTGCTTGTTCTTCCGGTTCCCCTTCAGTCCTACCCCGAAGGACTCCTGCAGGAAAGGGAGCTCAGAGCCGTCAAGAGAGCTAGAAGCCCGCTCTCCCGCTCTCCCTCGCTCACTCCTGTACGCTAGGGCTGTCTGTGGGGTCGCTCGTACGCTGGCGCATGCGCTGTGGCCGCCTCAAGTTTCCCTCCCGGTGCGATTTTGTGTTGATATTTTTCCTTTTCCTGTTTTTCTTTCTTTTCTTTCTCTCTCTCTCTTTCTCTTAATGTAGGAAATGTTGTTTGGGGTTTTATGTCTCGCTTTCGTTGTTTTTTTCTTTGATGATTTTATTTCTTTACATGTACGTACGACTGATTATAGGTAATGAATAACCAAAAGTTATTTATCAGCGGTGGTCTTCCCTTGTCATTAACTCCGACGTTGAGATAACTTTTTCTTTTCTATCTTTTTTTTCTCTACGGTGTGACTGAGTAAAAAAAAAATGCCGCAAGTTTGTTACTAAAATCTTATCACTTCCTTTTTATAAACAATCTTTGGGAAAATTGTTTTCTTTCTTGCAACAGCTGCGAGGAATATTGCAAATACAACTTGGTGGTATCTGAACAATATCAATTTGTGCGTTGTTTGATATCTGCAATATTGGTATGGCTTGATATCTGAACAATATCTTATCTTCATTCGATGTTAAAAGAAATGCGTTGATCCTAAGCTGCACTTCGTTTTATCTTGACCTCGTTATGTTTCACATCACATCAGCCACACCGAATCTCATCAGTTCAACTTTGCCTTTTCGGTTCAGGAGGAAGAGGCAAACGAGGAAGAGAGAAGAGCGAGAGAGAGCATATAAAAAGATTTTTCAGGAAGTATCCACGCCATCCAAGAAACGGAGAGAGGAAAGAGAGGAGAAAATAAAGAAGGGAGACGGTGAGAGGGAGAGAGAGAGAGAGAGCAGAAGCAGAAGTTTTCACTGGAGTTTCATAGCTCGTTCCTGCTGACCCGACCCGCCTCTGGCCGTGCTCGTCTTAATTCGTTCCCTCCGGCCAGGACCAACACGGGAACACGGGAACACGGCGCTGGGTCGATGCCAGTGCAGAGGTCTTCCTGGGGTTGGCGGTGCCGCTCGCGACGGCTGTGGCGGAGCTCGGTCGGGCGCTGGATTTCTTTAGGCGAGTTTCCCCTCCGTCCGGCTGGAAAATTGGATGAAAACGGGAATGGGCTTCAGGTTTATGAGGTGGCTGGAGAGGATGAACAAACTATTATGGTGTATACTGTGTAAATAAATGACAGCATAGAGAAATATATTGATAATAGAATACACACGCACGAAACGCCTACAAAATTTGATACTATAATAAGTATTGCTCATTTGCTAATGTTTGAAGTATCAGACTATGAATACACATTTCTTCAATGCCTTATGGATACACGCATATTGGACACATAATAGAAATGCTATTCATGAGGACATAACAGGAAAAACAATCTATAGACTAATACCAAAAATATTATCAATGATTATGACAGCGTTAACCCACTATAATAAAACTGAAGGTATGTATGATTTGATGAAAGCACTTTAATCTGATGGGGGGCGATAGAACCAGAGGAAGTGACCGCGAACACAAACACTAATAAAA